CATCAATGAATAAAGGTTGTGTTCAAAATACCATTAAGAATCTCAACATTATAGAAAATGTTCCATCTTGAAACTGTGAGCAAAGGTTGGCTGACCTTTTGCACTTGGTATGTTTAGAGTGTGATCACGTCCAATTCTAGGACATAGAATAATATAGCATAATATATGAAGTGAATATTGTGGGTGTGGGTGTACTTGTCCCTGCCTATAGTTCTTGCCTCATCATGGACTGTCAGAGGTTTTCGCTGCTTCAGCCTGGGTGTCTGGGGCTTTTCCTAAATCGTCACCCTTTTTATGTTTCCTAGCATGTTTATATTTGTCCACATATGCCTTAACCAGATTTCCAACTTTCACTGGGTTGATTTCTCCACTCTTGCTGTGGCACACCTGAGAAAAAGATCATTTCAAATTGTTAAAAGAGACACTGAGAAACTCCTGAGTCACACCTTAAAAAAACCTGTTTAAGCAAATAAAGAATTAAAAAGAATTTCATCATCATCATATTTTTCTAACCCACCTTCTGGACAGCTTTGCGAAGAATCTCCTTGTATTCATCCTTGTTGATATCTCTCCTTTGGTAGAAAGGTTTGATAGCTAGCTTAACTTCTTCTATCGCTCTCTCCTGCATGTGCAGTTTTTTCAAATACTGTTAGGAGAAATAGAATCATAATTTATGCAATGACATAATTTTTTCCACACGTTCATTTTGAAACTAACATTTGTGCATGCTTTTGCTTTCATTCGAACTACAAATTGTTTGACAAATTCGTTCTTCAGTATAGGAAAATGTGTGAAAATTAATTGCACAAATGTTCCATGCTGCAAGGAACATTTGTGCAATTAATTTTCTCACATTTTCCAAAGTGTTATCCAAGCAAGCCCAAACATGAAGCATGGTGTCACAATTTTTCTCTCTCTTTCGAATTTGGGGGGCTGGCCAGAGACGTGATTTTGCACCACATAAGGTGAAGCTGAACGTTGACATTTCCTGCAAATAAAAGGCTACCATGTCTTCCTTTAATTTTGTTGGGTACGTTTTTAATAATTACAGTTTGAAATAATAATAATAATGATGAAAAAGAAGAGAAAGAAACAGCTTTATGAAGTTACAGGGACCGTAACCTTTTACAGTTAACATGTAATTAGTTCATCCATGTATCTCAGTTATCTGAAAAAATTCCCATACAGCCTTCCTGGGATAAAGTTAATGGGAATGGCCCAGACCAGCTCCCCCCCCCAAAAAAACAAAAAACAACCAACAAATTCAGTCTGCAGGGGCACAACATGAAGGTAAAAGTTAATTTAGTTAGTTATAATCAAATATTTATTTAAGCTGAAAATGCATTTCTATTCACCTTGTCTTTCCTTGATAAATCTCCTTCTTCTGCCTCTCCTTGTGCAGAGGCCGATAACTCCCCAGAATGAAGACCATCACATTTAGAGGAAGTACTGAGAAGACCATCAGCACACTTCTTGGAGGACTCACTAACATCTGCAGTAATATCCTGTAAAAGTCAAGGGAGATTATACAGTGACCACCACCTACAAAAATTCAAAATATTCCATCATATAAACACACAGAAAACTGTGGTCACACTCCAAATGCACAATTATTTAAAATTCAATTTGTACACATTTGTCCTATACTTAACAACCTGTGTTTTATTGTGTGTCTATACAAATAATTACTAATACTGATGGGTC